TCCAGTCGAATCGACTTGATCGGATAATCAGGGTGGTGAGCCTTTAGCTTAATGATTTGAGCTAGGAGTTTATCAAACGCGGCGTTATGTGTGGACAACAAGCAAACATGTGACCATCTTGTCGATGCATCAACCAACACTATAAAATATTTAAATGGTTCGCAGGTTGGTTAGATTGGTCCACAAATGTCCCCTTGAATCCTCTGAAGAAATTTAGGGGGGATAATCTTTGTATATGAGGGTTGAGTATTCAACTTCCCTAAAGAACACGCTTTACATGGTAGGAGTCCAACATAGGGATGTAACTTATGCCTGTGTGAAGATTTGAGGATACGGTGCATCATGTCACATCCAGGATGTCCCAAACGATCATGCCAAAGCAACAAAGTGTCCGAGAACTCAGGCATAGGGTCGGCCATACTATGGGCTTCTATGCTGCGAATGGTTGTGATGTACAACCCATTCGACAAACGTTCCAACTTCTCATGAATATGCTTCTGGCCATATTCATACGAAGTGATACAAAGAAATTCAGAACCATGATCTTCAGTGGTTTCAAGATGATATTTATTATCTCGAATATCTCTAAAACTCAACAACGTTCTTCCAGAACTTGGAGAATAGAGTGCCTCTTTAATGGTCAGAATTGTACCATTAGACAACATGATACGTGCCTTTCCGTATCCTTCAATCAGGTTGGATGGGCCTGAGAGAGTTGTCAAATGAGCTTTCTTGGGTATTAAGTTAGTAAAATAGTGTCGTTCACGCAAGATGGTATGCATGATTGCATTATCTGCCAGACAACTAACTTCCCTACTAGACATACCTAGAAATAAATTGATTGAATTGGTCACATGTATAAATATAAGTCCATTCATTCAATTAAGCAATTCGAGAAAATAATATCCATTCAAATAACAATCCATAATTCAAAACAAACCAAAACCAAACAAATTATTCCAAATACACAGAAAAATTGTTCAAAATTAAACCATAAACCTAGCAAAATAGGGGGTAGGGCCGGCCACTCCCAGTGGGTTCGGCCACTAGGGGTAAACACCCTAAAAACATGTCTAATTTATTCATCCATAGGTGTTGACACCTCCTAGAAATCTGATATCTTCATTGATGTAGTTGCATCTTCCATATGATCCACATGTGCAAAGTTAGACTCACGACGAGAATGATATTTGGCTATAGTCTCAGGGGAAGCTCGGCATACGCGTGACCAATGATCCCTTGATCCACAACAATAACACATGTCCAGTTCAGTAGAAGCAACCTGAATGGGAGCTTTACCCTTATTCTTGAAGTTTGGGACCTTAGGGGCGAGTGGTAGACGCTGCTGTGTCACATTTCTTCCCTTAGGTGCAACACGTTGTTGACCTTAGGCCTGTGGTTGGGCTTGCCGCCCATTGCCACGGCTACAACGATTCTTTCATCGTTTATGGCTGGTAGAATAGGTCGCATGCGTTTCAGGTGCGGCATTCGAGCCAGTGAATCGAGCTTGATGATTCTTCATCAAAAGTTGGTTCTGCTTTTCAGCAAAAAGTAAAACAGAGATCAAATCTGAAAACTTGGTGAATTTCTATGTCCTATATTGTTGCTGCAGGACAATATTGGTGGCATGTAAGGTCGAATAGGTCTTCTTTAAGAGATCTGATTCGGTTACTTCCACTTTGTAAAATTTCAACAGATAATGAATTCTACAAACTTCAGAGTTGTATTCATTCACGGACTTAAAGTCCTGGAAGCGAAGATGCTGCCAGTCATGTCTTGCTTCAGGCAAGTATATGTTTTCTGGTGATCGAAACGGTCGGCCAGAGCAAGCCAGAGGGTGTGTGGGTCCTCCTCAGCGAGATACTCAGTCTGCAGTGCATCATGAATGTGTCTTCAGATGAAGATCATTGCAGCAGCCTTTTGAGCTTCGTCAATAGGTTTGTCGGCGATAGGTGCCTTGCAGTGAGATGGAGCTTCACGTCTTGAACCCACTTCAGATAGTTTCTTCTAGAGACTTCTAGAGTGGAGAAATTGAGCTTGTTCAAATTTGACATGTCCCTAAAACGGAGGGAGAAAACATGATTAGTCATATGGTAAGCCATATACCTATATCATATAATATACAAGTTCTATAGACATGTAGTGGTTTAATTTATGCATGAAAACTACGGGTTTCATGTGGTATGTTTTGAATGAAAACTTCAGGTTTCAAATGCACTAAATTTGAAACTTTCAATTTAGTTTTATGAACAAGTAGTTCATAATGAGAGGTTCCTGCAAGAAACACAGGATGCAATATACTAACTAAGTGTAGTGGATTTGAGGTTCTTCGGGAACTCAAGTGTGAAAGCTTCGTTACTACGAAAGTATGTGACAGTTCAGAGTATAAAAATAAATTGTTGAATCGTTAATGTCCAAAAGTGATATTCAGGTCAATAATTTTGGATTCATTATCAGATTAATAGATTGCAGGTCACTTTTAATTAATTCAATAAATTGGGCCATACATGGTCGATTGTAGAAGCTAAATAATATTAACATAATATTATTGGATCGAAAATATAGCCTTACAAATATTTGGGCTTGGTGTCGTGGGTTAGGGGGCACGGGTTGGGTGCCTTAAGCATAAGGCAAGGCCCAAAGGTCTTTGGATGGTGGTAGCATGCTTCAGACCCATTAAATTAGGCTCGAGAAGCGGGCTAAGGGTGCACGCAAAGCCCAGCGCAAAAAGCTGGCTTTGGTTGGGCACGGGTGGACAAAGACCAGCCTCGTGGGCTGGCATGTGGGTTCGAATGGGAGCTTAGCCGCATAGGCTAGCTTTCTATGTTGCGAACCGCAAGGAAACAAGGCCCAATCGAGTGGGCTAGCACCAAAGGTAACAGGTATGCGGGCCTGGGTGTGTGCGGGACAAGAACCCAACAAGCAAAGCTTGTCGTGGGTTGGTCAAGGTCTAGGAAGGTTGCAAGCCTCCACAAAGAGGGACCTAGGGCTGCATGCCTATTCCACTCAAGCAGGCCGAAAGCCTGGAGGTCCATGTAGGTGCAGCAAAGCCCAGATGGCTGCTGCCAATGTTGTGCCGCATAGGTGGTGCCAAATTATGTCCAATTTCCCTTTTTTTATTTTCAAAATTCCATAGGGTTTAGGAAAACCCTAAATATGCTTCTAATTTAATTTTGTACTTTGACTCACAAATTCCACATAACAATTTAATTGTGCGATGCATGAAACAAATATATATATTAACAAATATATGAACATATACAATATATATATATATATATATATATATATCGAAAGGAAAATATTAACATAGAGGGGTTCATGCATCATGGGGAATGTTTTCATGCTTCGTGGACGTTTCAAGTATCTTCTTTTATTTTAAGCGTACCTGATTAGCAGAAAACGGATAAGCCTTTGAATTTGGTGGATGATAGCCTCCTTCAACGATGCTTTAATTTCTCAGCTTATGGCAAGAGCGTGCTGATAACGTGTTGTAGGCCTATTTGATTGAACGATCTAGGGTTTAGAGAGAAAGAGGTGTTCGGCAATATTGAGAGAGAAGATAGATTGATTTAATTGTGAGGTGTGTTTGATTCACCCCATTCTGCCTTTATTTATAGTAGTATGGAGGGTAAAACCTTTCCCTTTAGGATTATAATATTTAATAGGTAATCTAATCCTAATAGGAATATAAGATACTTTCCTAGATTCCCTAGGATTTACACAATCACATTCATATTCTAAATGTGACTGCAACAATCAACTATTTTTCTACCCACCATTATTTTCAAAATTACCCTACATATTTCTTTTTCAATTTTTTTCTTGCTTTAAAAAAATTATGAAAAAAACAATTATCACTAAATGAAAATACCCAATAACTCCAAATATCACCATAAGGCAGCAGCCCTCTCCCTATAAAATTCGCAGAACCGTCACTACTGACTTCCCAAATCCCCAACACCTAGCGCCCCTCCTCTATCGCCAACCATCGCAACACTACCACGTCTCGAAAACCGCTCCAGTACCCAACTTCTATCGTTTCCAATTTGAATTCGTACCACACAAGAGAGAGTGTGATTAAATTGGAAGAGCTTCACTCATAGTTTGGTGTTGCACTGGCTTTCCCTAACATCAAATTCCTCCAAATTCAGTATATGGTAGGTATTCAAATTGTTCCAAAACACCAAACATGGTCCAAATTCAATGAGTGTCGGATCCGTGAGTCCCCTAATGTAATCTAGACTATGAGCTTCTCTCCTCATCTACCTCAACATTATAATAATCTTAAAGACTAACTTGCTCTACTCTCTGGTGAAGCTTGATCATATCTTCCTCAATATGCGCTTTATTGCGAGCCTTGAGGCTTTTGCTTTGTTAAGTCCCAATTCCCCCTCTTCCTGATAAGTTTAATTTCTAAACTTCATTCCCCAGGAAAGCTTGTGGGGTTCATGATATTTTATTCGTTTTCTTATTTATGATATTTTAGGTTTTTTTTTTATTAGTATAACTAATAATTTGTTTAAAAAGAATCAATATAACTAATAATTATGTGGCAAGACATGATTGATTGGTCTTTAGGTCTTTAAAAGTCATTTTATATTAGAATAAATTTTTCAATAAAAGTAACGATATTATCTACGAGAGGGGTTAGGCTAAGCCTTGCAATGAATTAGTAATAATGTAATTCAAATTTGTCTTTACCAAGAATCGAACCTAAGACCTGTCACTTATAAGTAAAAAGGAATACCACTAGACGGTAGTAAGACAACATTTTCTCCTTTTTAAAACTTGTTAAAAAAAATGGAGTTTTAACAATTGTTCACTTTTAACGAAAAATCACATTTTTACCTTTAACTGACACTATTTACTATACATTTAAAAATGACTTTTCGTTGAAAAAGAATTTTTTTTTAAACTTTTTATTAGTTTTTCTTAAAAAAAAAAAGACGGTTGTTTAAATAATAATAATAATTTAGAGAATAAATAAGAACATTACTCAAAACAAAATGAAAAAGACCGAACTCTCAAACACGTCCCGAGTGTGAGTGGCAAGCATCCAAAACCCTAAATCCTCCTCCTCTGAGAAATAGTAAGAATCAATGGCCACCTCAGCAGCCGCCAGATCCATTTTCCGCTCCTGCGCCGGCCGCAGCTCTGTCTGTGCTGCGCGTCTCGCCCCCGAAGCCAAAGCCGCCCGTTCCCCGTTTCGCATGGCCGCGAAGCGGGCTTCCTCTTCTTCTCCTTTTCCCGCTCTCCGGTCTCCTGTTCAATTGAGCTTCTGCGTGGAGTCGATGCTGCCCTACCACACTGCAACAGCTTCGGCTTTGATGAACTCAATGCTCTCTGTCACTCGCCACAGTTATGGCTGGCTTTCAGAAGGTACACTCTCACTCTCACTCTCACTCTCACTTTCACCAATTTCTTCCTGAATTTGCTTATTTTTCTGGTGACTGCTACTGTGTTTTGGTTTCACTGTAAAACTACTGTTTCGTGCAATAGGATCGAAATTGAAATTGAATTTGACATTGAAATATCCCTTTTACTTTACTTCGTGTCGTTTCCATTTCAATGTGGCTGTTATGAATAAACTTGTCAAAAATCGAAATCTGAATGCTTTCTAAGTAATCCCCTGACATATTTTTCGATTTGATGGAAGCATTCAACTTATGGGACTATTTCTGTGGAAGTATCCAACTTTCATTTCTACATAAGCACATACTTATGTTTCTGTGTAACAAGTCCATCCATTTTTGTAATATCGTGCCTCATTTGTACGCTGATATTGGAGTTTGATCATTTTAGATTATCTTAGTAGAACTAACAAAAGAATAGACACTCGACGAGATGGGAGGATTTCTTTATGCCAGTGCTAACATCCACTCTTATTCTGCTTGTGCTTCTTAGTCCTCCTCCTGCTAGGAGGATTTTGGTGCGGTTGCATATTTTTTAGGAGCAGCTTTGCTTCATTATGTTCAAGTTTCAACAAAGAAGTAGTTTGTTTGTTGGCTGCCTAATCGTTGGGGTTTTATTCTCGAATTAGGTATCTAGCGAACACTTGTAAGGTCCCTTGATATCGTTTTCTTCCTTTTTTGGTAAGTTAGTGGTTATTTATGTTGGGTTCAGATATTTAGAATCCATAAATTCTGAATTGTCATTGCAGAGTCATATCATATGTGTCTCTCATGATACAAGATGTTCAATAAGTAAGTTTTGTGGTCTTTAACTTTCACGAACAAATTTCTTAGGTACTAATAGCTCAATATGGAGGATTTTAACTCTCCGCTTTTTTTTTTTTTTTTGGGGTTCAATTTCTGTCTTAATAACTAAGTCAATATCTCTTCCCATACTCCTACACATTAGTGAAAGCTGCAAAATACCTCTTTTTATTGCTGTAGGCCAAGACAGATGAAGATCAAGAAGCAATATTGGAGTAACTTTGATTTGTTAAAATTTCAAGATTTTAAGATGGATTGGAGACCTTTTATGTTCTTTAAATTTGTAGACGTTTTATTGAGGAAAAGTTTATTGGAGTCCATTAGATGTGTTGAGTTATCTCATGGCAATTTTTTTTATGATGGCATCAGTTGTATTGAGAAATACTCTACATGTGTTTGAATTCATGGAGATTTTTAAGATATTGAATCATCAATGATAGGTAAACTGTTGAAGACAGATTTGAAATTGTATTTTAATGAGATTGTATCTTGTTATTGTTAAAGTTACAAGAAAATGGACCCAAGTGAAATCTTATCTCTGCGCTTCTCATTGCTTCTTCTGTGTCACCTCTCCTCTACTCTTTTAACTTAGAAGTGCCAAATTCAAGGGTGATAAATATTACATGCTCTGGGCTCTGAATGTTTTACATGTTTAAATGGAGTTTAAAAATTTTTGAACCACGATAATCATAAAATTAGTGTACTGATCATTTTTATTTGATCAGCTTGCAATGATGATGTGTGATGAATGTTCCAAGGATTCAAGGAAGTTTTATGTACTTATAAGGCAGTGACTGCTGGTAATTAGGAGTTTTGAATGAGCTGCACAAGAGATAAGTTGCATGTTCTGAGCTTTTAAACCTAGATCAACGAGTAGACTTGGTTACTTTTTTCTAAAGTCCTAAAGACATTTCCCTTGTGTTTCTGCTTTACACTTATAAAGTGGCAATCTTTTGTATTGCGGCATATTTGATTTGTTTCCTTTGCATTGATGTTACTGACCAAAGAGTCATTGTATTTAATCAGCTTGCAACGATGATGCATGATCTTTGTCCAGTGAGTTCGGTAGAAGTCTGTTCAAAATTATTGCACTTGAAGAGAATGATGTCTTGGAAGCTTAATAATGCATGCTTACCGCATGAATCTGTTCTGAAATACCTTCTCATTTTTTATGCTCCTTCGCCTTTTTCCCTTTAGGGAGGGGGTCTGAGTACAAGGAGAATATTATATGTAAGAATTGTATGAATACATTGTCCAGATGAATATATAATCTTCTCTGCATGTTATTGTATTTTTTTTTCTTTTAAATCCTGGTGGCTTTGAATCATGTCTAGCAAATTTTCTATTTCTCTCATTGCTCTTTTATTAGAAGAAAAATCGTTTGCATTTGGGGCCATGAGGTGGTATGGTTTCTGATATGAAGAAAAAGTAGCTTCCACCTTTTAAAGCATATAAGCCCTTCCAGTGCCATTAGTCTAAAAGAATCCAGTTCTATGTTTGGGTTTATGCTCGATTTGTAGAAATTATCTTAGCATTATGTTGTGGTAGAAGGGATGAATATTAGTGAGTGGAGTTTGGGGTATACTCAAGTCAACCTTGGGCTTTGTAATCCTTGATCAAGTGGTGAGGAACATGTTCGCCCATTCAAGTTTGGGTTTGCAAGCATTTTGGCTCATAAATGATCCATGATCTAAGTTAAGCTACGTAGAAAGTGTCAAAGGTTGTTAGGGGCTACGTGATTTCGCATTCCAATTCTGCCTCTTCTTTTATGGTTTTGCCAGAACCCTGCAGATTTCTCGAGTAGCTGACATGTTTATTCTTCCTTTTCAATCCGTGCGCAGATTCTTGAGGAATGCTGCTGATCAATCCTTTCTCCAAACTCAAAGCGCAATAAACAGTGTTTTCCGATCCTGAGCTTACATTTCATTTGGTCACTTTTTATAATAGAGCAGCAAACAGCCACAGTCCTCATCACGCATACATTGTCTTTCCCTCCCCTCCTGTGTAGTGTTCTCCCACTCGCATCTCACTCGAATTTGTGGTTAGTGATAGTAGTCAACAAGATGTGATTTTAATTTAGCTTCTTTTGAATTATTGAACTCTACTATTTTCAACAGTTTGTCTCTTCAATTCGTACCCTCTTACTCATATATTCTTACCTTCATCATCCTTTTCATCTCTCCTGTGATGATTGCTTTTGCATACCTTCTGTGATTGCAAGTTCTTGAATGGAATTCTTAACTTTTTCTTAGTTGTCAAATGATGTCCAAGATTGATTGGACGTTTTTGGTTTTGCCCTCCGCCACTGGGGCTGGGTTTAGAAAGTTCATGTAGCTTTGTTGCGTTGGTATTTCAACTCTTGATGGGATGGGGGTGGGGGTGGGGGTGGAGGGCGGCTGTGTTGATTCTGAATAAAAGAGAGTGTTGAAGCCAACTGAATGAGTGTAATTTCTATAGCTATACAACTGGTAGTTCAGGTTTTAGGCTTTCAGCTTTGTATATTCGGGTTCCCAGGGGAGTGTGAACATGATTAGGAAGGAATCCACGAATTTATTGCGGTGCTTCCTTTTTTCTCTTATACACTTTTGATTTATGTTTGATTTTTATTTCAATTTATTCGTTTCCGATGATCGAAATTAAGAAGGGTGTATAAACAGTAAAAAAGAGTAAATAGCACTATCCTTGTTTGAAAAACGCGATACTCTAATCACAGAGAAAATTAAAATCTCATTAATAAACTTGCTGGATGCTCAAATTATTCTTTATTCATGATCTTCAGAAAAAGATGAGGAGATAAAAAAGAATTTTATTATATCAAGCCGAATAAATCATTGTTAATTCTAGTCAACACAAGGTCACATTTAAGTTGACTTTGTTACGAGATAGAAACTATATTCGAATTATCGGACTCAAAGGATCAAAATCCATATCCTATTAATACTATCGAATTCGGAAAATCCAGGTCCGTATTCACATATTAAACTTAAGATTGTTCTGGATTTTATTTTTTCTGTTACCGATCTTGAACATATACTCACATTGAGAGGGTGTAATCAAATTAGGATTTGATAGAATTTTAATAGACTTTAAAATTAGAGTGTAGTCAATTAGAAGTTTGAATGTGAATTTTAAAAATCATAGGGTAGTCAAATTAGGATTTTGAACTCTTGGATCAATATGCTCAATGATCCATTCCATTTACATATTTCATTGGTTTGTATTTCTATATCAATAGATATACGTATATGTTCCCTTCAGATTGTGAACTAGGAAAGAAATTTATTTTATGTTGTAGGAGTCAACTAAAATCCTAAGAAATCCATGAACGAAGTCCATACAATATTGTGAATCTATTAAAATCCTTTCAAATTTTTCACTTAAAAAAAATCTATTAAAATCCTATGAAATCCAAATTAACTCACCCCCTAAGATAACAATACCTCAGTCGGCTTGAGGTCAGGTATTCAACTCCCTTGCCAATATGAAAACGAAAACACAGAAACATATATTTTTTTTCAAACGTTCGAACGCACTCTTGTAAAGATTGATTTGAAATCAATTCCAAAACCTGGCCGCAGTTCATCAAAGTTTTAAAAGAAAAAAGAAAAGAAAAGAAAAAAAAATATTTTTTGTTTGCAGAAAACAAATACAACAGCAACTATATACTTGATGGCAAAAGACATACGCAAATGATGTACACAATGCATGATTTATTAAATACAACTAGCGGAGTTGTTTCCAGATTCCAATTCCAACAACAAAAGAGACCGTTCAAAACTTCCAAATCATGCCCTCGTCATATTACATCACCACCCAGACCCACTCCTCTAAAACTAAAAGCACGGCAATCGCAAGACCAGAGACAGAAAGACAGGCACATCAACAAGTTGCATCTCGCTTACATTAATGGTTAGGCACACATACATATCTAACTAACCTCTTACTAGTAACCTCATCAGTATCCACTCCCACAAAACACTCATCATTCACTCTTCAACGTTAACCAACTCGTACTCAATGAGAGAAAGATTGTTATCCTCTTTAACTTGGAAGTTAGCTGGTTCGGTGACTTCAACACGTCCCCATTTGTCGACTGCTAGCCTCATGGTCCCCTTGAACATGTCAATCTTTGCATTACGCAGGTTCACAGTCGTGTCTGGCTTCATAGTGTCAACTGCACATATAACGTCAGGTCATCAATTACATTGCATTACAAAAAACAAACCAACAACAGTCCCCAACAACAGAATAGGCAACCATCTACAATTTGCAGACAAATACATACAGAAATACATAACTTTATTTGATCGAATTGGGTCCCAACTAGCATTCCTTGTACCAAATTGTCCATCCAAGATATAAGGCCTCATTTGATATGGAAGCTTGGATTAGAATGAATAAGCAACTATTTCAAGGTACGAAGAAGAAATGAAAATTTTGTGGCCAGCTTGGAGGCAGAAGATGGATTACGAAAAGTTATCCATTCCAAATTTCCAATCCCATCCCAAAATGCGTGAGTAGAAGGGAGAAGTTTTGTTCATGTCTAATCCCCTTAAAATGAAAACCATTCCCCTCTACCTTCAAATTAGATTGAAATTAGACAGTTATACATTCCAATTCAATCCTCCTTACCAAACGAGCCCTAAACATACTAAACCGATAGCAGGATTAGAGATCATAGGTTGGTCTCCAAAGAATCAAACATTATACCAAAAGCAGACATTTAACTAAAACTTCTAATGAATCAAATCAAACCCAAAACAGAAATTCTCCCTGTAATCCTAATTGGATTTCCTTTACCGTAAATGAAACAGTTAAATGCAACTCAAATCTTACTAAAACCCATCAAAAACCAAACACAAATCCAAATAATATATACCATAATTCACATTTTACAGTAAATAGATAATTAACTTGTATGGTACCACTTGCAGAATCATGAATTATATACCTTGGTCATTGCGAGCGGTGAAGAGAATGGTCCCCGTCTCGTCCCCAACGAGGCACTCAGCGATGCGAGCGGGCTGAGTAGGCCGAGACGACAAAGATGATCGACCGCCGTTCTTGTTGGTGACCTTCACCGGCTTCGAGCTCACCACCTTCACCGTGAGGGTGTGGCCGTTCGTGTTTGGCTGGAGCTGCTCCACCTTTACGAACACCGGCTTTCTCTTCGCCGTCACTGTCCCTAAATTATTCGCTGTCGTCGTCGCCATTCTTCTCTCTGCACTCGAATTTCGAAATTCCAATTTGTGTCCTTAATTTGTTCAACCCTAACCCTAGATCGAATTTGGGGTGGGACTTTTATCGACTACTTGCGCCCTCATTTTATATTTATTAGGCATATATGTCGATTTGTTCTGAACTAGTATAGATGTGTTAATTTCCTTCTTAAATTTGAATTTTAGCCGATTAGCTATTGAACTTTTATAATTAGTCAATTTTTTTCTTGAATTTTAATTTTAACCGATTATCCCTAAACTTTTATAAATAGTTAATTTCCCCTTTTACGCTAGATTTATAAAAAAAAATTCATTCATGCAATTTTTTTATACA